TAAGGTCTCTCTGTAGCTACAGCTGGCCTGGAACTCATTAGATAGACCAGGCTGGCCTTAATCTCACAGAAATCTGCCTGCCTCTGCCTCCCAAGTGCTGGGATTAAAGGTGTGTGTCACCATGCTTGGCTATATTTTCTTTTTTTAGTTGATCTTCTTACATTTATCTAATTTTATTTTCTAACTTTCTCATTTCTGGAAACCTTTCGTGTTCATTCTTTTTCTCTAGTCTGGTTTTCTTTTTCTGTTTCTCATTTATTGACACTGTTATCTCCTCCATGACTCTCCTTCTCGTGTCTTCTTCTTTTATGGAATTCATTTACTGTTTCCACATTTACTCTCAGAATTTTTTAACTTCATAGCACATTCCACATCAGTTTTCTTATTTTCTGGCTTGTGGTCATGGAAGCCAGACATGGTCAATGAAATTAAAGCAGAAAATTTGCCAAATCTAGAAAAAGAAGTAAATATCCAAACACAAGAGGCACTTAGAACCCCAAATACACATGACTAGAAAAAAACTTCCATACACAGCACAGTCAAGATGTAAAATACAAAGCAGAGAGACAATATTAGAAGCTCTAAGGGGAAAATGTCAACTTGCCTATAAAAGCAAATATGTCAGAGCAAGATCAGAGCCCTTTAAAAGATCAACTTCAAAAGCTAGAAAAGTTTGACATTTCTCAAGACCATAAAATAAATGACTGTGAACAAAGACTGTTGTATTCAACAAAGCGAGGTTTTTAAACTGATGATGAAATAAACATTTCAAGACAAGTAGAGTAAAAGCAGTTCATAACTACTGTGCTGGATAACTTTAGTGTCAACTTGACACACCTGGGCTGAGGGAGCCTCCATTGGGGAGCTGCCTCCCATTGGACTGGCCTGAGGACATGTCTGAGGGGCATCTTCTTGATTGTTGAATGATGTGGGCAGGTCTAGCCCACTATGGGTGGAATCACCCCTGGGCAGTTGGGCCAATGTTGTGTAAGAAAGCAGGCTGAGCAGGGGCCAGGAGAGCAAGCCTGTAAGCAGTGATCTTCCATGGCCTGTGCTCCAGCTCCTGGCTACAGGTTCCTGCCCTGAGTTCCTACCTTGGGCTCCCTGATGAACTGTGACCCAGGAGATGTAAGACAAATAAACCCTTTCCTCCCCAAGTTGGTAGTGGTCAGAGTGTTTTGTCACAGCAATGGAGAAACAGACTAGAGCAGCTACAAAGCCGTTACTATAAAGGACACTTAAAGGAAGTGTGTCTACAGAGGAGGGAGAAAGGCATCCTCAATCATGAGCGCACAGGAAAGAATAAATTTTATGA